GCATCAGGGAAGCCGCATACGGTATAGGGCGTAATGCAGTGGCTTTTAACCGGGGGTGCACGCACCCCCTGGGAGTACGAGATACCCTTTCTGAGAACCAAAGGCGTGCAGGCTGCAGTAAATATTAAGAACCACTTGTGTTAATGCATGAGGGGAGAAGACGCCGGGACAAGCAACGGTGTAAAGAGGCCCAGCCAATCCCAGATCGTGGGACAGCTGAAGTGAATGCGTCTCCACGTGCGTACGGCTCTCCCAAATTCACGGGGACATTGACGGACAGATGTTGAGACGAGGCGAAGGTTAAGACACCTGAATGCCCCCCCCTCCCCCCCGCGTCACGAGGGAAATTCCCCCTCGTGCTTCCAGGACTAAGGGGCCGTCCATAAATGACGTCACGCGATTTTGGACTATTTTTTACCCCAACCCCCCCCCCCCCTTGTCACACGGCGTCACAAAAAGTCAGACCCCCCCCTCAAATATGACGTCACAAAGCTCTTCCCTCCCCCCCAAAAATAAAACATGCTTCAAATCGCTTTAAACTATTGTCATTGTAGTGCGTGTTTAATGTGGCGCTGCACTCTGATGTTGTAGGAGAAAACATGAAAAAGTCTATTTAATTAAGTAGAACGTGTTTGTCTATATTTATTCAATGTTGCGCATTTTGATGTGACGTCAAATTTCTCAAACCCCCCCCACCCCTCGTCACACATCGTCACAAATGTCTGACACCCCCCCCCCCCCTAGGTACGTGACGTTCTTTACGGACGGCCCCTAAGTAAGTTTCGTGTCTCCCCTTGTCCCGCGGGGGGCCCTGTCGCGTCTGCGGTGGGACGTTACGGCGTCCAGCAGAGAGAGAGGTTTCGAGTGAACCAGAGCTGGGAGCAGAGGTCCTAGAGGTGGAGTTCACATTCCCGACACCGTGACGCCGTCTGTCTCTGTCCGTGGTCACGCGTTCTCTGGTGCAGGGAGAGGTTTGTGCCCAGTTCGAGTATATTGCCGCACTTCCCTGTCGACAAGTGTTTTTTTTGGCGTGGAAATCATTTCCCAAATCCCAGTCCCCCGTGTGCTCATTTGCTGCCGAACCGTAAAAAGGCGCCCACAGAGACTTCGGTGTGGGTTGTCCTCCAAGGTGCAAGTCCCGGTAAACGGCGAGAATTATACAAAAATGATACAATAAAGGTCCTTTGTTGTTAACTTGAGCAAATTGTGTGAGGTCTCTCCAGTGCCGGGTTAAGCTAGTGCGGGGCATGTAGCATGTTAATAAAGGGGCCCTAAATTAATAAAATGAAAACACACATTTTAACTTGTGTCGTGGCATAGAGTAGTAGCATAGCGCTGGTTGCTGGCAGGAAAGGAGATCTGTGGCGTACGGCAGCCCTGGCGTCAGCAGGCCACGTAATACTCCAGAGGGGGGGTCTATGGGTTAGGGTACAGAAGGGGCACACCAAGAACCCGCTGGTAGGTTCCAGAAGGGGGCGTGTCCGGGGGCGGAGCGAGGCCGCGCTGACCGTATAAGAGGGGCCCCTGTAGGGGACATCGGGAGCTGTTGTGTGGAGTGGGATCCCCGAGGTGCTGCTGAAGTCTTCGTCACCGTTCTTCTCGTCGTCTTCACCGTCATTCCCATCGTCGTCTTCGTCTTCACCATCTCGGGGCGCCAGCAGTCAGGCAGCCCTATCAACTGTCCTGGCTGAGTAGCGTCGCAGGCAATAGACGTACTGATTATTAAGCGTGTTAACTCCGATGGTGCGTGTTAATAAAGAAGTGCCTCCAAGTCTTATCGTCTCCGAGTCGGTCACTAAACCTGCATAGTAAAGTAATTGTATTTTTTTTATTTGCTATACGGCCAGATAATACGACAAATCGCTAACCTTAAACACCCAGTAGTTCATAAAAGTTGAAGGCGGTATAGTACTATAGTAATAGAGCAAGTGCAGAATCACTGAACCGAAATTGATAGCTCGAAAACATTTAGCGCGGGGCCCTTGAAAGTGCGGGGCCCGTAGCATCATATGTAGCTACTTTTGCTACTGGGATAATCCGGCACTGGGTGTGTTTATTTTTAAACCCGGGTGGAAAAGATTGAAACTCGGCATCAGCAGTTCGGCGAGTTCAGTCGGAGAAAGCCGCGTTCGGGACGTGGAACTCAGTGCACGGGTTCCCGTTTAATTGGCGCCGCAGCGCCACCTCGCGGGCCTCTTCACGCGGTGAAAACCCCAAGTTCCTTGGGGGGATCGAACTCCTTCGAATCGATCTTGAGGTTCTTTGTCGCGGGGGTTCTCTCGGTTGCTTGGGCTTCTGCCAGCGAGAGCGTCAGATCGCGAAATGTTGACTACCTCGCCTGGTATGCAACGATCTAGATCCAAGTCCCTGGCACATTTATATTTGGAGTTTGCGTGTTCTGTGCGTGGAATTTTCCTCCGGGTCCTCTGTTTTTCCCTCCACATTTAGAATCAGCATGCGTTTTAGACACTTTTAGAGTAGTTTGGCTGATAAGCCAATTCACTGAGCTGTCATTTGTGCCCAGGTCGTTGGTAAAATATTAAATATTTCTTTGTACAGGGCGCTTCAAAAAATGTTAACACTTACATGCGATTATCGCTTTTAATGTATAAAGAACGGAGAATACACTCTAACATGATAACAAATGTCATGGTAATAGCTTCAAAGAGTCAAAGAGCCTCCCACTTGTTCGCCATCATTGTCAACGCGCGCCTGGAATCTTCTCCAGGTGGTCTCCAGAGCTCGGGGGGCGCCTTTGTTCGTGGCATTGTTGTAAATTCTCAGAGAAGCGTTAACATTTTTTTGAAGCACTCCCGTACACTTCAGTAATTTCCGGGGCGGATTTCGTCGCTTGGGGCAAGAGCGTCACCTCGTGGGAAATGAGTGCGGAGGTGGCCTGAAGTGGAGCCCAAGGGCACCCTTCGCTCCGGGGCTGATCGCCGTGATAAGCCACTCGTCTCGGGGTGGTGAAGGTGCCGAACGTCCATCACGGACAGCGGAGTGGAGGAATACTGCAACACCGCGGCGCCGTGTCTCTCTCTCATGGCGATGCCTCTAAACGGGTGGCTTTGGGGCTGTCCATAAATGACGTCACGCACCTGGGGAGGTTCCTACCAGTATAATCTACGCATATATCTTGGAAACTGGCTGGCCTCCACCAGAGAGGGCCTCCTTTAAGGCCCTGTCTCACCTGTGTTAGACCAGACGACGCCGAAAGGCGACTGCGCAAAGGCCATGCAGATATTTAAAAAAAAATCATGAATAGCTCAGTTATATATCTATCGGACTCTTGGACAAAATAACGGGGTCCCAAAGACACTCCACAATTATTATTAATCAATTGGGATTACACGGCGAGCATCGCCCCCTACTGCCAACACGTGGCAAGGCCTTGATGTAGAGGAAGCCGTGAGGCTCCGTGAGGCTCTCCTGGGTAAACGAGCGGAATGATAAGTATGATCAATAACCACCGTCACCGTGATCACAACAACATGCGTATGTTTAAATAAATGACTTCCTTATCTGTCAAGGAAAGCCACAGAGACCAACGGTTCTTCTTCAGCAGTGGTTCCTGCATCTGTCTATAATGTTGACAGCCAATTATTGAGTATTTATGCAAGTGGGAGGCACCGGAGAAACTCCCACGCGTGCGAGGGGGTAACACGCTATCCCCGTACATGGAGATTGATCCACACTTGCTGTACCGCCTTCTCCTGCTGAACCAGGGTAATGCCACCTCGACGTCCACGGGAAGGGCGTTTCACAACATTGGTGCGGCGATCCACGGACACGTGGCCTCACATTGATGGATCACAGGCTACGCGCATAGCCATCACAGCATGGCAACCTCATCACCACCACCACGATAATCTAGATTATCATCGTCAACGTCACGAACAGCACACCACCATCAACAGCCACAGCGCTACTGAAAATAATACTGATATCGATTTAAAGCTTTCGTGACTGCAGGGATTCATCTTCTTGGTTCTTTCGGTAAAGTCACGTAGAATGGAAATAAAATAATAAAAAGAAAACATAATAAATTATTTTATTATAATAAAAAATAATAAAATAAATTATAATGTTTTGTTTTTATTATTTTATTATTTCCATTCTACGTGCCTTTACCGAAAGAACCAAGAAGATGAATACTGATATCATCATCCTGATTATGGGCATTATTGAAGCCATTCGTTGTCACACGTGGTACATATACTGCTGGATGAGGACCTTCCCATCATCAGCACCATAATTAAGATGCCATCATCATAAGATCACCGTAATCTCCACGGCCATAATTAACGTCAACGTCATTCAAAAACCACAACCATTACCACGACCATCACGAGTCATCATCATCAATCGTGAATAGCATCAGCATTGCCCATGTGACTCACTCTTAAACATCACCACGAACAAAATTATGACTTCATAATCACCACCACCATCACAATCATTCATATGACATCACAATGAGTGATGTCATTATAACTGTAATGCTATGATAGTGACGATAATAATAATGATAACAATGATCATCAGCCCAGCAATCTCCTCTGCTGGGTGATACCAACTCATTATTGGCAAACACCCCTCCACCCCCTTCGTTGTAACTGAATGGTACAGTCCTGGCCAGTCCAAGTCAGGGGGTCAACTCCACAACGAGATAGCACGATGGGGGGAGGGGGGGGTGCGAGGGGAGGGGGGATTTAACGATCGGGGATGGTTGGAGGAGGGGGGCGGAGCTTCTCGACTGTCTGGTTCCCATAGAAACCGCCGCCCGTCTCAGATGCGAGTGACGTCACGTCGCCAATGACGTCATGTCGCGTTAAACATATAGCGGTGACGTCACGCGCCAGCGAGCGTGCGTTTGCACACGTGCGGTGGTGGCTTGCCGCAAATGTGCAAGCGAAGACAAACAGCTGGGACCCCCCCTCCCCACCCTCGTGGCGCCTTGAACAGATTGTTGGGGCAATTGCTCTGCAGCGAGTAACCTGTATGACAGCCCACGCGGCACACGAGAGGGTGAGTCCCGCAAACACGCCCGGCCGCCTTTGTCTCCCCCAACCGCTGACGTTTGCACGGACCACACCGGGTTAATCGTTTCATGCTGAGTCGACCTAGGGGAGACTCAGGACCGGGTGATTTACACGACACGCGAACGCATCACGAGGAGGCAGTTTGTGTTCTTTAATTTACAAAAAAAAGAGATTCTGTTGAGTTTCTTTATATTTTTATTCCAAAAAAAATGGGTGATAAACAGTCCAATTTCGTAATGATTGCAATGATATTAAGCCGAATGGTTCCGTCTCTTCGTAGGAGATGATGATGATAATGGGGGTAAGGATGATTATGGTGAGGATAATAGCGACGATGATATTTATAAAGATGATGGTGAGGAGGATGATGGTGATAACGGTGGTGGTGGTGGTGAAAAGTGGTGAATCCGTGGGCGGTGCATTAGGCACTGTCCAACTTTTGGCTCCCCCCTTGAGAACTCACAAATTGTGTTTTTATTGTCATTTTTACCGGATAAATGTCATTGAATGCTTTTTCATTTAAAAGGCTTCACGTTTTGGGGGAAACTGGACATCTCCCACCGCTGACGGAAGGACTAAAGTTGGGCAACACTGCCGGAATGAGTTTTGTATGCAAATTGACGCAGTGAAAATTCGAATTTGTCATTAAGAGTCAGCATTAGCATAGTGGCGTCGGGATTGTACATGCATCTGCGTAACGATTTGATGACGAATTGTCACCATTCAGGGTGGCGATGCGATTCAGCGGTCTGTTTTTGGTGGCTTTGCAATTGTGGAGACTGTAGCGGAATTTCGTGGCTGTAAGCGTTACGTGAACCCATTGCACACATCAACACAGTCGAGTTTACGAATAGTCTATTATCGAAGTCTAAACACGCGTGATTTGGTTGCACGTGTTACGAGTTTGTTATCGATTTTAGTCGAATGAGCGATGTCAAAAATGCTGGCAAAGCGAGCGGTTCACATCCTGATTAGGGGTTAACTCAGCCCATCACCATCCCTCCGGGGTCGATACAAAACAAATATACAAGTACCAAGTTGTGGGTAAGTCAACAGTGCGTGTCTTATGGAGAGGCCCACCCCCGTCACAGGAACGTGGAATTCCCACCACTAGCTCTGTGTTTGTAAACAGCAGATGGGCACCGACACGGGATCGGTTCAGACATCACTCTTGGCTGTCAGCCAACTCGGTTCGTCAAGTGCACGTAGCGCATTGCGCTAACCACTGCGCCACCGCTCCCCGCATGTGAACTATGATGGTGATGGTTGGAACTCCAGCTAGAGGGCGCTGTCTGTGGGCTTAGCACGCGGGGGGCTCACAAACATCAGCAGACGGCTTCAATTCCCGGTCGTGCTCAGGTAAATGTTACATTCACATGGCCGAGACAAGTCGGTCCATAGGAAAGCCACTTCTGATTTGCTACAGATAAGTGAGGTCCCACTGGCTGGTGCCAATTGTATCGGTCCTGGAGAGATAATGCTGGTAATGATGATTACGGTGGTCGTGATGATTTTAATGGCGATTATGGTGGTGGTAATGCTGGTCATATTGGTTCTAATTATGAAGGTCGTCATGATTATTGGTGGTGATGATCGCGATGATGGTGGTGGTAGTGAAGATGGTTCTAGTGGTGACTAACAGCACTGCCCACGCATTTGCACGGGGATGTAACGTGGATTACACGCTCTGTGGATTTACCGATATTCGTTTCCCAATGACACTCCCTGGCCTAACTTTTAGTCATCAAAATGTACAAAATAACATATCAACACCAACGATTTTACATACCAGCAACACATTTATAAATATTACTCAGACAGTTGTACAATTATTTTACAAATGAGGCAAGTATAACCACAATTAAAACTGCATTATAACCACTAACCATAACAGCCACATTACCACAACTAAAACTACATTGTTAACCATCATAGCTGCAACGTAACCACAGCAATGGCATTATAACTACAACCATTACCGCGTTGTCATCACAACCAGAACGATAACCACTTAATAACTACAACCACATAACCACAATAGCACCACAACAGCCACATTGTAACCACAACCATGAACACTACATTATAACCACCACCGTAACCACAACGGCCACGTAACCAAATTAAAACCACAACCCCATTATAATCGCATTATCACCACACCTCAGCAAGAGCGTTTGTAGGTGTTGTGCGCGTGTTTCCCTCCCCCAGAGCCGTTTGCGAGATCCAGAACGTGAGTGACGGACGGGACGGACATTTGTGAATGCCGTGCAGACAGATGGGGCAGATTTGACCGTGCCGCATTAAGTTTTTTTTTACACAACCGAGTCCATCCCAGAATCTGATATCAGAAATGGCTGGGTCGACAGCGACGGGAGTTGGGGGGGGGGGAGAGATTCGGGGGGTGAGGGCAGAGGGGGGGGGGCGTGCTGGGGCCGCGGGGCGGATGTTGGCAAGAGTTGGCGGAACATGATGCACATCCGGAGCCTCGGGCTCCAGGGGAAGAAGCTGGGGGGGGGGTGGGGGATGGGCGTTGAGTTGGGGTCGTGGGGTGGTCCTGGGTGGGGTTGAGTTGGGGTGGTCCTGGGTGGGGGTTGAGTTGGGGTGGTCCTGGGTGGGGGTTGAGTTGGGGTGGTCCTGGGTGGGGGTTGAGTTGGGGTGGTCCTGGGTGGGGGTTGAGTTGGGGTGGTCCGGGATGGAGGGTTGGGATCGAGGGGTGGGAGACTGAGATGGATAGGGGTGTGGGGGACTACCAGAAGGGAGGCTGAGAAAGGCGGAGTTATTGGGGGCTGATGTGAAGATTGTGAGTGGCTCGGAGAGGATTGTGAGTGGCTGGGAGAGGATTGTGAGTGGCTGGGAGAGGATGGGGTTTTCTTCGAGGGGGGCCAGAGATGTGGTGTGGGGGGCTGCCAAGGGGGAGTTGGTGGCCGTGGTAACCGTGATGTCCGAGAACCACCACCCCATGCCCCCCACGTGTTATTCTCACCCTGCCACCCCCCCAATGCGTGCTGTCACTCACCCCGCTGTCAGTCGCACACGCGGTCAGGCACGGACTGCGGTGATGTGGTGGTCGTGGGGGAACGAGGCTGTCCGGGCTGTGTTTGCCACATTTCGCGTTTGTGTTCCTGAGCGAAACAGCCGCGTTGTCTTTACTTTTGGTATATAATCCACAATTCTCAACTCCGTTCCATTGCAAGGGTGACTGGCCTTCATCGCGGGTTTTGTAACGCACCAAGCGTGCTCTTACGAGCAGCAGTATCATCATCATCATCATCACAGTTTCTCTGTTTATGATGATTGACGTCCGCGCTTTTAGAATAATTGTGTGTCATGCATGGGTTTGCCCCGGGAAGCCTGACTTGAGTATCAAGACGATTAAGGATGATCCTGCTGCATTCGGATGTTTGGCCAATTCCTTGACTCACTGCCGGCTTCATGTGACAGAGTAGCCGGAGAAACGTGGCGTATTCAAGGAGATAACAGCACTGCCAATCTCTTGGCCACACCTCGCCGCTCCCGCTGACAACACCTGACAAGCTCTGGTGGTCAAATATCTCAACACTTTCCAGAATAAACCCTGCTTCGCTTCAGATATCTGACGATGTCGGACACATTTGGGGTAATTTGGTCGGAGTGTGATGGATGTTGTGACATTACAATATGTGGCCAACATTTATTTTTCCCCATTAGTACTTTGCCGGCTATATCCCGCGTGTGCTATCGGCATCATGTCATGGGTGTGTGCAGAGAAAGGTCCACCGAAGGATGTATCACAATATTAGTGACATCTCAAGCGGAATCTTATCTACATCTCGTGATCGGACTGAGACCACCAACTCGCTACAGTACTCTTGCGAACTGGGTTTCATCCCAGGTGGTGGAAAATCTCAGGGGTGCCAGCTGAGAGGCCTGACATCTGAGCCAGATGACCATCTCAAAGTGATTTATTGCTGAAATGAGCATTGAGGCGATCCTCATCTCCATTTGACAGCCCTGAGCCAATGGTTGGGATTTATAGAATGTCATGGTGAGGGCAAGTATCTCCATATGTCGATCCCTGTAAAGTATTCATTATATTACCATGTGCAATTTATGTGACACACAGGGGTGATTCGATTCATTTTCGCAATTTAAGGTAAATATTCTATTGCAGAATAACAAAGAAACTCAATACATTCGTCAAGAACGGTGTGTGGCATTATGATGAAAAGTTATCATAGGCGATGTTTGTATTGCTTTTCTTTTGTATTTTTAGTTTAAACGGGTTTTAGACATAAATAAAACACAATTAGAGCAGATAACATAGTGCTGTGAAAATTGAAATAATTTGGGAAGACATTTGAAGAGCTGGCAAGTGAAGCAGCCATTGCTCTCGATTATGCATGTGTAGTGACTGACTTGGAGATGTCACTTATTGGGTGCAATTCTTTAATTAAACACCGAGCACACTTTGTGCACTTTAGACAATACACACCCTACACTGTTACACACTCTGCTGTCGCTCACTTATACTCAACTCTACATTGGTTGCTAGCCTACACACAACGCTAGCCGTCTGACACTGACGGCGCTGAACTAAGACAGCCAACTGCGTTTAGCAGCGCTATTATCAAGTGGTGACGACAGCGACGAAGGCACGAGACGACAGCGATGAGGGCGACGATCTTCAGCAGCAACGACGACGACAGGGATCCCACTACAAACGACAGCCCCAAGCTCCTGCTCGAGGTCCCCTTTTATCCTGTTAGCGTGGCCTCGTTCCACCCCGGCCATGCCCCCCTTCTGGAACCTACTAGCGGGTTCCCGGGCTTCCCTCACGTGCAACTTCTGTAACCTTTCCCCTATCACGTGGCCGGCTGTCAGTCAGGGCTGCTACAAGCTGCAGATCCCCTTCCCTGCCAGCAGCCAGCGCTATGCTACGTAGTGACCAATTCTATGTCACTACACATGGATGAGAGACGCCAGTGAATCCACTCTGGGAATAAA